CTGGGGACCTTGAAATGAAACCATATCCTTGACTGGGTTATAAATAGCATGGACATGCCCCTCAAAGCACGAAAACTAAACGAAAGGCAAAAGAAATGCATCAACCAAAGAGCTGAAGACAGGGACAGGCGGGGAAAAAGCTTTTCTCATTTTTTCTAAGGAAATTGAAACCTAAGAAACTCTAGAAAAATCTCACATTGACACAAGATTTAGTATTCATTAAGTAATTATTCATGAAGAATAAGTGCATGTAAATACATATATTTGCAAGCCATAATATAGATACATAAATATATGTTTAAACTTTAAAGGAAGTGCAACGTTCCTTTGGTTGCATGCTTTTAACTTTTCCTGCATTCATTCCCCTCCCTGCCGCTTCATATCCGCATAGGAAATGCAAACAGGAACTGAGATACGATACGATACTCGTATTTATGTATCTTTCATCTAATGATCGGGTTGGGTTGCTGCTGCCTGCTGCTTGATGCTTCTTCGGTGTTTGGTCTTCCATTCCCCATCCACCCAATTATCCATGTTTATAATCATGTAACGCATTTTGATTCCCCGCCACATGAGATGGCAAATTGATTAATCACACAATTAATTGTACAATAATTAATTACAAGGAGCCACACAGCAGACAGACAGCCAGAGAGATAGAGAGAGGGAAGGCAAAGTCGAACCCAGTATGCACCCATTATGTCACCCCCCCACAGTGGCCAATCGAATTTCACTCACAAAAGGAGTGAATACACTCACGAGTGGTGTGCCCTCTGTGTGCGCCATTCAAAAGCGTAGTACGATTATTATATTGTTATTATTAGTTTTTAATTTTTTTTTTATTTCTTTTATTGTGTGTTTGGGAAAGTGACGCCGCCTGCTGGCTGCTGACTGCCGGCTGCCGACTGGCAGCTGCTGTCTAAGTAGTGCAATTAACCAAAAAACTCGAAAGTAAAAGTGTACCCCCTCCGTTGTTGTTGTGGGGGGATGCGGATACGTAGCCATTGTCTGGCCCAAAACTGTGGCAAATGGAAAGGGTTTTCCATAATCATTTGAATGTATCCACGGGCTGTATATTTTCCCATCAAAAATGCATCAATACCCAGACAACAATGGCACGTCCTGGGAATCTGCATTTTATTTGTATTTATTAGTTAAGATTTTACAAAAAGATTACAAATAAATGTACATACAGTTTATAGCTTTTTAAGTATCTTCTTAATCATTTTTGTTCCTCACAATGTTGACCCTTTACTCAAGTCTGCTGGATGACAATATTTGCTTTTATTATTATTTGTTTAATGACACAATTTTGTTTGTTTTTGTTTTGGAATTCATTTGTTTGCTTTTCTGGGTTCGACTTCCCCTCCCCTCTACTCAATTTGTCGAGCCATTTCCTTTCGATCAAAGCGGCAAATGAGAGCTTCAGATGCCTTTGAGATAACTAAAATCTGCTGACTCCGCTCTTCTGGCTGATTCACTGCAAAAAATGTCCCCTAAGTGAATGGACACATTTGTAAAGAAAACAAACATTTGAGTTCAATTCCGTGTGCAGGCATTGAATCTTTCTCATGATTGCCTCTCTGGGAAATGCTTCACTGAAAATCCAGCTGGCAGCTCTTTCGAATGGAATCAACAGAATGTACGGCTCAGCACTGTTTGGATTCTTCTCGTCTCTGACGTCAGTGTCTTTTGTTCTCCATGGCGAGACACCATTGCCATGCGAACGTGATATATTGTAGAACTCTTGACGGGGGAACTCTGTCGGGTACAAAAGTATTTATTTGCATAATGAGGAAGAGAGCTGGAATGGGTATGGGTGTAGGGTATGGGACAGACGGTGAGTAGGGGGAGGGGATGGCTAACAAATTATGCAATTTCCTGTCATGCTCCAAACACTTAATTATGGTTATTAAAAATTTACCAAATATTCGTAGTTGTTGTTTTTTCTTTGCCTTATTTCGTGTGATCATTTGCACATAGTTTAAGCTTAAGTCGCGGCTTAGCTTCAGCTTTAAGTTAACTTAACTGGCATCCCCCCAATGGCACCTTGCCAGCTGCCAATCCATCGGGGCATACATATTGGGCATATCATTATGGATGATGATGATTCGGATTTGGATGTGGCGTGCCAGACGCAAAGTATTTTGCAAATGCGCCAAACAAGTTGAATGAACGAAGTTGCAGCGATGGCTCTGGCTGGCGATCTCTCTCGCACTCTCTCTCTCTCTCTCTCTCTATCTCTCTTTCTGGTTGGGGGTTTTTTTGACCATGAGGTCGAAATAGATGACAAACCGAAACGCCATAGGAAATGGTCGAGTAAAATGTTGAGGAAGCTGAAGCTGTTGTGAAGCTCAGAAGGGGAGAGATCTGCTGCTGCCTAATGACTTCATTTGTCAGCTTAAAATTGATTTGGTAATCACTCAAGTGTCTGTTATGTTAGTGGCCAAATACAGTGCGTTTCAGCATTGTAAATCACAAGAATGTGCGTGGAAATGTGGAGCGGAATGAGGGTAAGAATTGATCAAAGGTTAGAATGGGTAATATTGCAATGGGTAAATAATTAAAAAAAAAAAAATTATTATAAATTTATTACAAGTCAATTCATTTCCATTCCACAAGAGATGACAGCGTAATATTTGATTAAAACACTAATTAATCTTGCGAGTAAATGAAAAAAAGTAAAAAGCTATTTTTAATGCGGCAAAATTGCATTGGCCAGTGGCGTGTTCTGGTCAGAATAATCAGAACGAGCCCCCAGCTCCTGCCAACCGATGACGTTCTGTTCGGGTGTGTGAGGAGGGGCGCTTATCAAACATCGCGGGGCATTCGAATTGGAAATGAAATTGGGGCCAGTGCTAATCGGCAGAGAGCTTCCACGGCTGACCTCAATAGGCCCAATGGGCCCGCCCACTCTGCCACGCGGGGCACGTACCATAGAAATGGAAAAAGAAGCAAAAAACAGAACAAGAAGCGCAGCGGTAAAAAAAAACACGCTAACAGAAATTTAAGTTTGTCACTTTCTTTGTCAGTGCGTATTGGGTTCGGCCTTCAATATTCTGTGATTTATATATAAGGAAAAAAATATACATATTGGGCTGGCTACAAAGAGAAGTTCTGTTGTTACACTCGAGCACGTTCTTATATCTTGTATGTCTCTCTCTGTCTCTCTGTGTTTCTCGGTGAACCAAATTACAATTAATTGCTGCCCCTCCAACTGATGAGGTTGCATAAGAAACCCAACCCAACCCAACCCAACCCAGAGTGATCACAGACAGATCCGAGATCAAACTCCATGCCAGAGTGCGAGCGTAATCGTCGCTCGACTCAGCTCAGTGAATTATAATCATAATAATTTTATAATTAACCAAAAGGCCCTAGCCCGAACTTGATTAAACCAAAAAACCATAGCAGCAGCTACATCGTTTCCCCTCAAATGCTGTAACCGAAGCCTTTTTCGGTGTCGGTTTGTCGGGGGGGAATCTGAATCTGAATCTGAATCTTTGAAGCGGCCTGAAGACAGGTTCAGCCAGCCGCAGCCACAGCCGCAGTGGAGCGCAGCAGCGTCCAAGACCAAGCAGCGTGCCATGTCCCATCAAAATAAAACAGTTTTTTGGTTTCAAGTTCTAAAGATCCAAGGGAAAGAAGCAGTAAGAAACTTCCCCAGTTGGCAACGTTTTACAATCGAGAGAAAAGCCTCTGTCTGTCCTTTTTTGTTTGTAAACCATTAAACGTAAAGCAAATGATGTATTTTAATTAATCTATAAATAAATATTGGGTCAAATTAAAGCAAACCGTTTTACTATAAATCATTGCACAACATTCCATAATTATATATTATTATAATTATTATATTATATTGAAATATTGCCTCAGTTATTGTTTATTTCCACATTAATATCTTCAATTATTTTATCTTTCAGCTAAAACATTGAACCCAACCAGCAACCATCAGCCACTTCCATTGAGTGGTAAAGAAAAGGGGGAAACCCCCGAGAGAGAGAGAGAGAGAGAGAGCATAAAGTGTGGAAAGGAGAAAAAGTAGGAAGAACACCGCAACTTAAAAACTGTAAGTACCACATCCACAGGGTTAAGGGAAAAGCGAAAAATATATACATGGAAATCATAGTTTTGGCCTTTGGGATGGGAATGGTATTTCGGAATTTGTGCGGCCATATCCGGTTGCAATTTTAAACTGCGAATTGCAGCTTCCATCCACATGCCACATACACACACACCGAACAATGCAACAGCAACAGCCACTAACAATAGGAAAAACAGAAGAAGAAAAAAAAACACACACAAAAGTACAAATATGAAAAGAGACCCCAAAAGATGTATACATAAATGTATGTACAAATGTATGTATGTATGTATGTATGATAAATGTACGTACATACATCTGCCATGAGGGGTCTTATGGCATATGGAAATCTGCGGATTTTCTGCGGCATTCATCATTGTTGGGGGAGTTGTGGGGGTCGTGTCTGGTTCGGAAATATTGCGTAAATGTATGATATATGCGAAAATGATTTTTTTGGGCTAAGATCGGATCAGTTGAAACGATGAAGGAACGTTGATCAACGGTCGCACCTTGGGGAGGAGTCCGAGAATTTTTCCCTACAGCATGGTAAATGTTAATTGTTTGGCAAAAGATTTCACAGCAGGGTTTATGCTAGTAATTTCGTTTTGGTGTTAGGCATTTAAGCTGCAAAAGGCCAGTAAACGTTGAAGTTGAATTTGAATTTCAAACAAAAGCAAAAAATCTAACTGGAATACAAGGATGGGACACGATTCGATACGCTCCGCAAGGTGTGCAACTATCGTTCATAAATATCGGTATTCTGCGGTAAAACTATTCCTATCGCTTCGATACTATATCGTGATGAAACACGCGTCATTCGCGTGTCAAAGTTTTCATTTCAATAAGTAGACTTAATTCAAAAAAGAAACATTTAAGCACAAAACAGAGAAGAAACATTTGAGCAAACAAATAGAGAAGAAACACAGCACCAAAAGTGGTTACTCCTGGCGCCTACTTCTGTACCAGTACTGTGTAAGTCGGAAGCAAAATGAACAGAGACAAACGTGCCTCGCAGCCGACCACGCGCCACCAAGGCGATAGGCGCTGCATGGGCGATCCTGTGCGCCAGGATGATGTTTGGCGTAACTATTCTGGAAAAGACAGCAACAACAGCAACGAAAACATGGACTGCAGCAAGTACAACAACAAGAAAAGCTACAACAACAACAGCTACAGCAGCAAGCCCTACCGTGGCTCAAATAGAGCTTTGAGCGACCAACGCTATGGCAATCGCCATCTCCTTCCACCCAGGGAGCCACGCCACTCATCGCGACAGCTTCAAGAGCAGCAGCCACAGCCCATATCCAGGCGTAGCAATATTTGGCGCCAAAAAACCGACGATGGACGAAACTACGACAACAACAACTACAGCAAGCCCTACCGTGGCTCAAATGGATGTGTGGGCGACCATTGCTACGACAATCGCCATCTCTTTCCACCCAGGGAGCCACGCCACGCATCGCGGCAGCTCCAAGAGCTGCAGCAGCAGCAGCAGCCCATATCCAAGCGCAGCGATATTTGGCGCCCAGAGTCAGCAGATGTACGTCAAGGTCTGAGACAGGAACAGGCACTGAAACAAGAGCAAAATCTAGGACCGGGAAAGAAAGAGGGAGTGCAACAGGGACAGCGGCAGGCTCATTCGTTGGAGATGCTGCAGCAACAGTCGGCCATGGCACAGTCACTGCTGCCACATTGGGTGCGCATGAAGGACTTGATGTGGATGAGTGCCCTCCGCAAGAACGACACAAAGGAGGCCAGCACCACAACTGAAAAAGGAATGGCCGCAAATAAGCACGAGAAGCCTTCTGGTCCGCAACCAAAGCCCCTGACAACGCTGGCGGCTCGTGTGATCTCCAGGGATGGACCCTTTGGTCCAACGTGCAAAGCCTACGACATTAAGCGAGCAGAAAATTATCCGCTGACAGCAGAGCAGAAGCAGCGGCTGCGCAATGCCATTGAACGGTCGGAGGATGGGCAGGTGCTGGCTGCCCTCGATTTGGCTATCCAGGAGATACGCACAGAGATCGACCAGAACTCACCGTTGAGGTTGGAGATGTCGCCAGACAGCATTCCAAGGCATTCTCCATGTCGCCAAGAGGTCAAGCAGCAGCAGCAGCTTCAGCAGCAGAAACAAAAGGAGGCGGCTGTCATTGATTCTGATGTGTGGACATGGCGCACACCGACACCACCTTCACCCGTTTCCGAGGGCAACGATTCGGACCTCGATTCGTGTGACAAGACACGCACCTTTGCCTCTAAGTCTAACAGCACTTCGAATGCCGAAGGTGGCCTCGATTTGGCTATCCAGGAGACACGCACAGAGATCGTGCAGAAGCAACCGTTGATGTTGGAGATGTCGCCAGACAGCAGTCCAAAGCATTCTCCAGGTCGCCAAGAGGTCAAGCAGCAGCAGCAGCAGCAGGAACAAAAGGAGGCGGCTGTCTTTGATCCTGCTGTGTGGACACCACCTTCACCCGTTTCCGAGGATAGCAAGTCAGGGAAATCGTCGAGCAATGCAGCCGATCGCTCCGAGTCTGACTTTCCGGGCACTAGGAGCTCCACAACCGACTTTAGTCAGCCGCCATTTCGCCCCAAAAAAACGTAAAAAACTTCACAGATTCCCTCCCCAAGGGGCCTTCCCTGGGAATATCAGCATCAAAATTTCCAGACCTTTTGTTCAGCAAAACTCAACAAAAATTTTAAGTGTTGCCCCCAAAGGATGCCGTTTCCTTGCCTGCTTTCGGGCAAGCAATTGCATTTCTTATGCGAATTTAATTTCACTTTTTCATCCGCAGAAAAAAGTGAAATGTGCGAAAAGGGCCAGACACAGACACACACTGAAAAAATAAGCTTACAACCCAAAAAAAAAGTCTTGTCAGCGCTCGCCAATTGTTTGGCAGCAGCTAAAAACGTTTTCGTTTTCGTTTTCTAATATTACCGAACAAAAACTAAGCTACGAATAAAAGAAACGGCAGACGCTCCACTCCATGCCACGCCACTCCGCTGAAGGGAGTGCGTGAGTGGTGTGGAAATTGTGGGAATTCCCAGTGCATATAAATTATTAAAAACAACTAATTAAATGTCTGATAAAGCACATGCTAATTATTATTACAAGAATGTATTGCACTTATTGTTTCTTTTCAAAGAACCTGCAGCAGTCTTTTGCCAACAGTTTTAAATTTACTGACGCGATTACTGGGGTGACCGTAAGATGTCCGTAAGATAGCAAAAACTAGAACAGCTCGTGACTCTGCCAAAGAATAAAATGTTAACAAGAACTAAAAGACGGTATCAGTATCATAATTATAAATAGATAATCCTTGCTTCACTTGGAAAAGCTACGAAATAGCTTCAGATACTGAAGAATTGATCCACTTTTGAGTGGAGGCCTCTTGGCATGTTGCAAATGAAATTTCACTGATGTGAGCAGGGCAGGAAAGGGCACACACTCTGTCCTACCACCTGGCATTACTTTCAATTTGCATTTGCACAAAATGAAGTGATTTGTTGGGATAAAAAGTGAATAGAAAACAAAGAAAAGTCTCTGTCCAAATAGAAATCATGGAAAACAGAAAAAAGAAAGACAGTCGCCTGCCATTGTCTGTATTATTTAGGCATTTCGTTTACTTAAACTCGAAATTCGCTGTGTAAACTCTGGATCAGGCATCGCTTGTATCATATTGCGACATCTCCATGTTCTCCTCCAAGGAAGTGACGACCTGAACGTAGCCATGAAAGAATAATTGAACATCGGCAATGGGCTTGATATCGTCCTCAGCATGCTTAACACGGACAATGTCTTGCTTTCCGGCCCAATACTCCGAGAACTGCAAGAAGAATCTGTAAAAGTGCTCCATGGACTCTTTGCGGCACACTCACCATTGTGTTGTAACTCTCAACGAGTTTCGTGCAGTGTCTCAGTATGAAGGTCAATGGGTAGCCCGGATCATTTTCGATCCGCATGCGATAGATGCCATGCAGCAGTTCACCTGTCAGCAGGGCACCCTGAACCACATAGAACTCTCGCAGCTGCGGACATTGACGAACCATATNTGTTGCAAATGAAATTTCACTGATGTGAGCAGGGCAGGAAAGGGCACACACTCTGTCCTACCACCTGGCATTACTTTCAATTTGCATTTGCACAAAATGAAGTGATTTGTTGGGATAAAAAGTGAATAGAAAACAAAGAAAAGTCTCTGTCCAAATAGAAATCATGGAAAACAGAAAAAAGAAAGACAGTCGCCTGCCATTGTCTGTATTATTTAGGCATTTCGTTTACTTAAACTCGAAATTCGCTGTGTAAACTCTGGATCAGGCATCGCTTGTATCATATTGCGACATCTCCATGTTCTCCTCCAAGGAAGTGACGACCTGAACGTAGCCATGAAAGAATAATTGAACATCGGCAATGGGCTTGATATCGTCCTCAGCATGCTTAACACGGACAATGTCTTGCTTTCCGGCCCAATACTCCGAGAACTGCAAGAAGAATCTGTAAAAGTGCTCCATGGACTCTTTGCGGCACACTCACCATTGTGTTGTAACTCTCAACGAGTTTCGTGCAGTGTCTCAGTATGAAGGTCAATGGGTAGCCCGGATCATTTTCGATCCGCATGCGATAGATGCCATGCAGCAGTTCACCTGTCAGCAGGGCACCCTGAACCACATAGAACTCTCGCAGCTGCGGACATTGACGAACCATATCGAGCACCTGTTCGTTGGTCAAATTGTGGCAACGGTCCAGGCCAATGTAACGCTGCACCTGCGGCAAGTCGAGGCCTTCAATGGCAACGTCCCAAAAGTCGCAATTGCCCAGAACGAGACTGCGAACGTGGGTGCAACGGCCCATGGCCATGGCCGCGAGGCTTTGTGCACCCGATTCCAGCCAGGAGCAGTCCATTTGAATGGCCTCAATGGCCTCGGACTTCAGTCCGAAGATTGTGTTCAGACAATCGACAGTCAGGCCGCTCTTCCGGCCGCAATGGGACAACTCGATCAGATGTTGATGGGGGCAGCCGACGAGGAGTTCGCGTTGAATGGCAAACATGCTGACGGGCACCGAGATGCCTTCAATGATGGGACACTTGACCACGCCGCTCAGATCGAGTGGCGTATCGGAATCGGCCTTGATGTACAAATGCTTCAGAAGCCGGCAGCGCTGGAAAACGTCCGTCATGGCGCTCTGCGAGATGTTGCCATAGAGGGCCAGCAGCTCCAGATGCTTGAAGCGTTCGATAAAGTGCACCTGAAGGCTGCAGAGTATTTGCGAAGACGCCGCAGATTCTCCATTAGCTTGGGCAGCGAGTGCAAGGGCCATTCGTCGTAGACAGCGCAGACGCAGTTATGCGGAAATTCCCCCTCGTCGCCTGTGCCCAAGTCCTTGGGCTGCAAAATCAGGTAGCACTCCTCCACAGAGTCCAGAGTGGCAATGCCGACACGCTCCAGGGCCTGCAGACTATGCTGCAGAAATTCCACATCAAAGTACAGAGTCTTCAACTCCTTCTTCATGGCATTCAGAGACACCAACTGCTCCTTGGCGCGGCGCATGTCCAGCTTGAGGCAGCGAAGATCCACGAGCTTGGCATCCGCATGCCACAGCTGGGAGCAGACGGAGGGCAGCTGCTCGTGGTTCTGCGAGACCATCTTCTGATCCCCATTGTCCAGCTCGTTGGTGATCACCAGAGACTCAAAGTCCTGCTGCCACACACAGAGCGATGGGGAACGTCTGTTTGCACGTCCCCTAGCCTGACCACGAGAGCTCCTGCCAGAGTCCGACGGAGTCTCATCCTCATCAGGGCCCAGTTTGGTGTCGGGACTGAATTGCACGCGTCGCACTGGCGTCGAGGCGGAATCTGAGGAGGCTTCCACAGGACCAGACTCCTGTCCATCAGCCATGTCAAAGGAAAAAAAAGAGTTTAAACCAGAAATTGAAACGTAATTTAGAAATTAAAATTATTTTGTGTGTCGTGAGTTTAGTTTTGCTTTTGGTTTTATTTTCAGGCTAATATTGGGGAATTTTTTTTGTCTGAAGTTCCGATCAGTTGAATTTTGGAAGCAATACTGAGACTAAGAATATCTCTGGGCGTATCTACGAATATCTGGGAATATCTATGGCTCCTATGTTGTTATGTTGCCTGTGCTTAGATGCCAGTTGCCAGTGATCGAAAAGGGCTAGTAGAAAGTGAGCGTGAACTTTCCCATCCATGCATGTTGCATGGTGGCAAGCTTGCATCTAATTATTGCACCTCTTGCTCAGAGCGCTGGGTCGCTATGCGGCGACGCCTTTTCAATTTTGCTTTTGTCGCTTGCACTTGAAGGTTGCCGCTGCCTCTTCCTCAGCCGCTGCACGTGCCCCTGCTGCCACTCGTTACCGTTTCACTCTCTCCGCACTGGGATTATTATGCTACGGCGGCGGGGTATGCCACATTTTGAGAGACTTTCTAAGAAAGAAGAGAAATAATAACATATTAAATATTTATGTACCAAAACATCGTTGCACCAGGCAAACGTTTACCAACACTAATTTACAGTATTTGAAAACGTTATCGCTTGTCTTTCCTAACCGTTGGATATTTGAAATTAAATATTTCTTTGCCATCCCTTAAGCTAGTTAGACGCGAAAGTGTATAACCTCAGGCTGTGTGCTCCAAGATCTTACATCGTACCTTCTTTAGCTTTTCATGTATCTGTGTGTGTTTTTATCCCCGGTACTCGAAGAGTAAATAGAGTATATTGTATTTGTGGGGAATAACGGTTGTATGTAACGCACAGAAGGTATATATATATTCTTGATCAGCATCAATAGCCGAGTCGATAGAGCCATGTCTGTCTGTCCGTCTGTCCGTCCGTCCGTCTGTCTTGTTTGTCGGCTAGTTCTCAGAGACTATAAGAGCTAGAGCCACCAAATTTTGCATCCAGACTCCATGCTCCATGCTCACACTGAAACCAGTGTATTTAAAAAATGAGCCCCGCCCCCTTCCGCCCCCGCAAAAGGGCGAAAACCTCCCAAATCTACAATTTGAATTTGAAGATAAAAGAAAAATAAAAACGCCATTCCTTAGGGAATGGCCATATCTATCAGATCACCAAATTGGGTGTGGCTAAACCCACCCTGTCCCGCAGCTTTTGTTGTTATTTTTACATTCTCTCATTCACACTCTGCTTCTGCTTCACTCGGCCCCTGCCTCTGCCCTCCTCCTGCCGATGCCTCTTCCGACTTTTAACCCACCCCGTCCCGAATTATATATTTGTTTTTGTATGCGGACGGTGCCTCTGCCTCTGCCGCGAGTCTGTAGTGTGTGGGTCTAGGGAAGGGCGGCGAGCTAACTGAGCGTGTTGGCGTGAGAAGTGTTGTAGATGTAGATGAAAGATAAAGAAAAGATTTAAAATTTGACAAAACACCGCTAAGGTGCAGATGTTGTACTGAGTGCCGGGTATAAAAGTTGTGACGCGTAAAAAGCGGCTAACACGTCCCTTCTCGTTTTTTTTGTATTTTTGTATTCATTCGTTTATTCCTTCTATTCTATTTTCTTGCTATGTCCAGCGCCCCTTAGTTGAACCGTCCCACTGGGTCTGTCATCTACTGATGCTGTTCCTCCTTTCTGTAGCCTTCAGCTCGGCTCTTGTCGCCTCGCTTCCGCCCTGCGCGGTGGTATGAATCTCTTTTCTCTCCCTTATCAGCTCCCTGAGTGGAACTTGCCCGGCTATGACCAGCGACACACACTTCTTCCGACACAATCCGGAACGAGCACGCGATCCGTAGGGCACACAGCATGTACGTCGCCTCCACGCCTCGCAGGTAGGTCTTCACCTGAGCGGCTTTCGCCCACGGCGTACAGGATCTGCGACGTCACAACACTCGTCAGGAGCTTCCGCGTTGCCTGCTTCGGGCCTCTGGCTCGCATTCGCGAGAGCGCTCCTGCGGTTCCGCTGGCCTTCCTCTGCACGTACTCCAAGTGCTCCTTGAAGGAGAGGCGAGTGTCGATGAGCACCCCGAGGTACTTGATTGCCCTCTGCGAGCGTATCGTGGTGCCAACGACCTGCACACTTGCTGTTTCTACAGCTTTCCGGCTCGATGTGAGCACCGCCTCAGTCTTCTGCGCTGCCAGGTCCAATCCGGCGACCGTAAGCCACGGCTCGGACGGCCGCGTTGGCGAGCTCCTCCACTGCGGCGAGGTACTTGGCCACCAGCACTATGGCGACGTTACCCGCAAACCCCACCATGCTGGTGTTGGCTGTAATCGGTAGTCTCAGGACATGGCGTCGTACATGGCGTTCCAGAGCAGGGGTCCCAAAACGGAGCCCTGAGGGACTCCGGCTGAGACTTTGTATGCCCTGGAACCCATACTGGTCTCGTACGACAGCACCCTGTCGCTGAAGTAGCTACGTGCTATCCTCTGCAGGTATCCAGGGATGTTGAAACGCTGTAGGGCCTCTAGCGTGCGGCTCCGTTCAGCAGGGGAGGCAGTGGGTCAGTCATTGACTTCACATACGCCAGAAGAGCGTTGGGCAGAAACTCCAGTTGGAGAATCAGCGACGCCTACACCGCTAGCGACCACGAGGCCATCGAGTGCGTGTTTGGAGGACCGGATCGGGGAAGAGCAGCCCCTACGCAGCAAAGGCAGGCGTATCGGCAGGTCACGCTGAGGACACAGACCTTTGCAAGCGCCCTCCGGACCCACACGGCATCAGAGTCTGACGAAGCCAACGAGTGGACGACCCAGCTGGGCGAGGTAGTGGAAGCGGTCTGCGACCTGAGCATGCTCCAGCGAAGCGCGTTTGGGAAGCACCATGCCCCAGTCTTCTTGTGGAACGAGGACATCGCCGAGCTCCTAAAAACCTGCCACAGCGCGAGAAGACAGCTCCAACGAGCCAGGGGAACTCCGCGTCTAGTAACCTGCTGCGAGGCATACAAAGTCGCGCGGAAGGAGTTGAAGACCGCCAACACGAATCGCCGGACGCGATTCTTAACCGAGCGACGAAGCTGGCACTAGCGCTGATCCCAAGCGAGGTCACGGGTCTGTTAACAGAGGCCTCCACGAGGGTACGTTCCCATCGAGGTGGAAGAGGCTGAGTGCAGCCATCGAAGCAGCAGGCGGCCTCTCCCCAGAGCAATACGGAGGAGGGTCCAAATCCTACTGTCTCGTGGTGACACTCAACATAAGGAACGCCTTCAACTCGGCCTCGGACGAACCCATCGCCCGACTTGATGTCGCAGATCTGGGGCATCTCCACTCCGCATGTCCAAAACGCAGCTCTGCCCGAGCGATCTGTAGCCCAGTTGCTACAGCTGGGAACCCTATAGGGCTGAGGATTGCCACCTCCGATCCCCGTCTGTTGCAGGAGGTCCTGCGCGGCCCTGCAGTGGTTTAGGTGTTTAGGTGTGTGTCCAGCCAGGCAAGCGGCCAAATTATTGCCACTGTGTGTTTGACCTTTAACGCCTCATGCTACCCATACGATTATGTGTGTGTGTGCCCTCCCCCTAAAGCTCTGTCTGTCTGACAAGTACTCAAAGGCGTATACGTAATATTTAGCAGGGCTTAGCGGGGCACCTGCTCTGGGATCTGAGCTCTGGTGCCCTGCCTTACCATCTTATCAGCTGTTGTAATCGAACAAGACTCCACTCCACCCCGCCATTAACCCAAATAAATGGGAAAAAAATGAGATAAAACGTTTAACCGAAAATTCTCATTATCTTTTTGGTTTTTTTTTTTAGCGTTGTTGTTTTTGTTTTTAGCACAAACAAATTAGGACGGGCTTGGAAGCTCTTTGTCTGTTTGTTGTTTTGCAGTTAATTATACAAATACTGAATCGTTTATTGAGCTTTAGTTTCAATAAATGATTTCAATGAACAACAATAGTTATGGTAAATATTCCGCTAACTAAAATACCCTCAAGCTACAAACGATTTTTCTTCTATTTTTATAAGTGTTTAAAAATGATTATTATCAACTAATAAAATATCTGATAAAGAACGAGCTAATTTTTGCAGTTAATTATACAAATAATGAATCATTTATTGAGCTTTAGTTTCAATAAATACTTTCAATGAACAACAATAGTTATGTTAAATACTCAGTCAAAAAACATAACTAAAATACCCTCTAGGGGACTTACACGCGTGCAGAATGTATTTAATAACTACAAAAATGTTTGGCAGGAATATATTATAGCTAACTGTTATTACAAGAATCTATTGCACTTAGAATTTAAATTAATTCTGCACATAAAAATAAGAAAACTATAGACAGTGGTGCTGGGCATTCCATTGGCATTTTTGTTTCTTTTCAAAGAACCTGCAGCAGTATTTTGCCAACAGTTTTAAATTTACTGACGCGATAACCGTAAGATGTCCGTAAGATAGCAAAAACTTGAACAGCTCGTGACTCTGCCAAAGAATAAAATGTTAACAAGAACTAAAAGCCGGTATCAGTATCTTAATTATAAATAGATAATCCTTGCTTCACTTGGAAAAGCCACGAAATAGCTTCAGATACTGAAGAATTGATCCACTTTTGAATGGAGGCCTCTTGGCATGTTGCAAATGAAATTTCACTGATGTGAGCAGGGCAGGAAAGGGCACACACTCTGTCCTACCACCTGGCATTACTTTCAATTTGCATTTGCACAAAATGAAGTGATTTGTTGGGATAAAAAGTGAATAGAAAACAAAGAAAAGTCTCTGTCCAAATAGAAATCATGGAAAACAGAAAAAAGAAAGACAGTCGCCTGCCATTGTCTGTATTATTTAGGCATTTCGTTTACTTAAACTCGAAATTCGCTGTGTAAACTCTGGATCAGGCATCGCTTGTATCATATTGCGACATCTCCATGTTCTCCTCCAAGGAAGTGACGACCTGAACGTAGCCATGAAAGAATAATTGAACATCGGCAATGGGCTTGATATCGTCCTCAGCATGCTTAACACGGACAATGTCTTGATTTACGGCCCAATACTCCCATAACTTCAAGAATAATCTGTAAAAATGTTCCATTAACTCTT